CCATATTCAGCCTGGATGTCTAGTAGAAACTGTTGAAACTGGGGGTGGCACAGGGCTTTGGAGTGAATATGATTAATAGCCTTTATCACCAGTTTCATAACATGATCATATTTCAGATGTTTGGCACAGAGAACTTGTTGGTGAATAATACAGTGAAGTTTTATAGCTTTACCTCCTTCTTCGCTGACTTTGTTACAGAAATAAATATGTTCCTCTTATTTGGTCCTTTAGACTTCGGAGGTCAAGTAGCTCTTCATTCACATTCATTTCATTGTCCACTCCTCTCAAAAAAATCTGTAACTCATGGGCGCTGTCAGATGCGTCCGTGCTTTGGTCGCAGGCCAATGAAAAAGAGTCAAACTCCACTCCTTTTGCCTCTAACTGTCTCTTAATATCAGGTGAAACGTCTTCAATTCTTTGTACCACAGTGTTACGAGCCAGACAAACATTGCCAAACTCTTGCTTCTTCTCTGGACACATTTTCTCCACCATTTTCATCACGCAGTCTTTAATAAATTCACCCTCAGTAAAAGGTTTGCAGTGCTTGGCAATCAGCGTTGCCACCTCATAGCTCGCCTCTGTGGCATTTTCATTTGACTCATCGGCTCTTCTGTAAAAGCGCTGCTGTGCCGTTAAAACAGCTTCCAGTTGTTTACATTTTTCGCGGGTTTAGTTTACAGGCAAGTCCTGTGTGGTGGTAAATGAGCCACAAACTTTTTTGAAGTCTAGGGTTTGGTGCTGTAGGGTAATAAGATCCATGGATATGTATTCTTTGAGCAGGTTTGACCATTGTGTGATATTTACTGTGTGTCTGGTTTTCCAGTTTAACAGGATAGTTTTCTTGGCAATAGCTAAGGCAACCAGCATGGGTTCTGCAACTTCGATTGGTGGGGACATGCTCAAGAGGTCTCCAAGTAGACAAATAGATGGAGGTGATGGGATGCAGCAGTTCAGTATAGAGGATTTGATTAATGATGGGTTTACTGTTTCAAGTTGGGTGGCGAGTGCTTTACTAATAATTTTGAGATCTGTGTTGAGTGATAGAGGGCGGTAACTGGAGAATATATGGTCTGTCCTGACGAGTTCGTTAATGCTGGTAAAAACTGATTTTTCTTTATTTTGTTTGAGTTGGTTGGCCAAATATTTTCCTGATTTGTTACTGTGTTCAAAATGTTCATGTTTCAATCTGAAATTGTGTTTTTTTATTTATAGTATTGTGAAGCTGTAATTTGGTGTCTGTCAGTTCCTTTTCAACTAGCTCTGTGGGATTATTAGCATAAATGTCATTCAATTCTTCGAATCTTTGTTGAAGATTTTTTTCAAGTTCCTGTTACTGAGTCATTTATTTCCATCAAGAATGTCCATGTCACGTTCAGCTCCGAACGCTCCTCATGTGTGCCACGCCCCCTCATTACCTCCTGTCGGAATCCTGATTATCGTCACCTGTTCCCTATTCCGTTTACCTTGTCTCTTGTATTTAGTCCTAGTCTCAGTCAGTCTTGTCAGATTAGTCATTGAATGGCATGTGGTTGTTACCTGTCGTACTTCCCCGGTCCTGTCTAAGCTCAATAAATCCCCTTCGTACCCAACTTCCTGGCTCCTCTCCCCTGCTTGTCCGTTCGCCTGCAACCCGCACCCTGACAGTCCACTCTTTTATGAAGAATGTGTTGAAATCTGGGTCATTAAGCAGAGATATATTAAATCTCCTTTGACTTATGGGTTGTTTGGGTTGGTTGATGTTTAGATTTATTGAAATTGGGGCATGATCATTGATTATAATGGGATGAATTATGGGTTCTAAAATATCAGAAATAATTGAGTTACTAGTAAGGAAAAAATTAGTACGGGAGTATGATTTATGGAGCGGAGAGAAGTGTGAGTATTGTCTGATATTAGGATTTTTTAGTCGCCAGCTATCACCAAGACCAAACTCATCCATATACTGTTTTAATATTTCCGTGGAGTGCCAGTTTCTAGGATTAACAGTAATGGATCTATCTAAAGTGGGGTTGGTAACTGTATTAAGGTCAGCCCTGATTGCTATTGTAGAGTTTGCTAAATTGGATAATGACTCAAAAAACGTATGGAAGAAAGAGGGGTCATCAGAATTGGGTCTGTATATGTTTGCAATAGTGAGGTTTTTGTTGTTGATTGTGGTGTTAATAATGACATAATCCCATTGGGGTCCGTGATTGTTGTGTTATGGATTAATGTAATTCTTTTGTTTATCAGAATGGATACACTACTTGTTGCTGATAATGGGCCCCTGTACACCTGTGTAGATATCTATTAAAAACATTTCAAGCTATAATAGTCAATTACAACATTAACAATGTCTACACAGATTTTCTGATCAATCTGTTGTGATTTTCAAAAACAAGGAAATTTCTAAGTGACCCCAAACAGTAGTATGTGTGTGTGTGTGTGTGTGTTTATGTTTATTTTAATCCACAGCGATGGTGTTCAAAAGGGTAAGAATATAAAACCCAGTTACAGCAAACTGCATTGGCTGCTGGCTGTAGCCACAGGAATGGATTTTGGTGGGATCTACTTTTGCCTCCATGTCAGTAGCTGATTCAGAGGCTTTTCTCTCCCCAGGGGGCCTTTCTGTGTGGGGTCCCCTGGTAGTCTCTGGGGGGCCCCGCTCGGGGTTTTTTTCCCTATAGGAAGATGGAATAAATGGTATGGAATGAACAACAGGATTCTATTAGCTTTCCTTGACAATGGATATTCTGTTTCTCAGCCCAGGTTAGCCCCTCCCACAAGAGTAATACATCAAGTTCTGTTCATACTAACCCTGATGGACCCCACTCACTGAGGAAAGCCCTTCAGGACTGCTACCTATAAGTATTACTGTGGTACTAAAAGCAATGAGCCAATCAGCATATACCAATTAATTAAGACAATCCAAATGACCCTGAAAAATAACTAGTAATGAAATGTAGTGGAGACTAATATCCGTGACATGCCATCCTTGATCACGGTGAGATTATCAATAGTGAAATAGTTGTCTTTCACCAGAATGCTTTGTTTTTTTGGAAAATAAGAGTACTGATTATGTTAATATTTTTAAAATAAAAAAAAAATACAGCCACCACTTCCCCTCTACGGAGGACAACTTTATTTTTTATTTCCATTGCAAATTCATTAGATGAAGCCACTCTGCACTCGCCCACCCCCCTACTCTATCATCATACTCGTACCCAGACCAAAATACAAAGAGACATTACAACAATACAGATTGTCAGACAGACAAACAGACATGATAGGACTTGGATAAACAGCAGGAGCAGCACTTAACTCTCCCAGTTGACCTGAAGTGTCGCCCCCCATCCCCCCCCCCACCCACCACACACATAAACACACACACACACACATCTTTACATGACTATATTATTGTTTGCCCAAAATAAACCAGCTAATTGACTAAATAAGAAGCTTATCATTTGCTCAATTCAATTGTGCAAAAATTGATTCTCAATTCAATTCAATTAATAGTACATCCATTAACTGTTGTTGGCTGTATTAATTGATTTTAGTTTTTGATTTTATTTGTCAGTCCAGGAGTACAACATATCCTTCGAGTTTAGATCTGATTAGCACAGTTAGTCATTAAAATGTTGGGCAAATTCAAAAGTCCTGTTGTAATCAGTTAGTTAAGAATTTTTAATCAGAAGGAGGAAATGTTTTTTTACAGTGCAGTGATCTCTTGGGTTGTTTATGGTACAGGTTCGTATTTTACATTGTGTGCACCACGGCATGTGTGGTTTCTGCTGGTTCTCACCCAATCCCTGTATTTTTCTCCAAACCACAGCTCTGTGTCTGTGTATTAAAGGCTGGTTAACATCCACAGTGTAGCTGTAAGTTATTACAACCTTTGGCGCAGTCAAATGCAAATGCTTGAAGTGGGGAAAACCAGGTATCATCCCTCCCCTTGTTATTCAGTACCAGGTACCAGTACTCCCCTTATTTTTCAGAACCACGTGCTGGTACTCCATTGTTATTCAGTACTACGTGCTGGTACTGCCCATATTATTTAATACTAAATGCAGGTACTCCCCTTGTTATTCACCAGGGGCTTGTACTACGAAGCGGGGTTACTGGCTTGTCGGGGGAATTTGTCGGATTTAAGGTAGTCTGGGCAAAATGTATGAATATGAAATCCATTTAAACTGTGGTACGTTAAATCCGACAAGTTACCCCGATAAGCCAGTAAGCCTACGTCGTAGTACAGGCTACAGGTGCCGGTACTCCCCTTGTTATTCAGAACTACATGCTGGTATGCCCCTTCTTATTCAGTACCACATGCAGGTACTCTCTTGTTATTTAGCACCAAGTGCTGGTACTCCCCTTGTTATTCAGTCTCAGGTGCCAGTGCTCCCCTTCTTATTCAGTGCCAGGTGCCAGTGCTCTCAGCAGATATTGTGAGGTGCTGCTACTCTGAAGAGACAAACAAAGAGGTGCTGGTACTGCATACCTGTCAGTACTGACCCACTTCAAGCACTGAATACATTGATAGAAAAATGTATAGTTTCATTTCCAAAGTGCCTATTCAATGATGAAGGAACATACAAGTACAAATAAGGTGAGTGATGAAACAGGTGCAGACAATTCAAAGAGCAAGGTAATTTCAAACTCAGGCAAAGAGTTTGAAAGCAAGGCATCCTGGGCAAGGTAGTCTGTTAATCCTGGTCTGACAAATACAGCCCACCAGAGCATATAGTTGGAAAGGTGCTTAAAAGTGCTCATGTCAATGGCTACACACTTTTTTTAACTTAAGCACATGGTAGAATATGGCCCATAGTTATTAGTCCAAATGATCAGTGAACATCTCTGTCTGTTATTATAAACTGCCTGTGTGCGAGTAAAAACTGATCAGTTTGCTTTGTTTGAAAGATATTACAGCTGGTAAACTGACTTTTGAATATAAAGCTAACATTACCTTTGGTTTTTGTTACAGAGTCAGACTGTGATACACAGGAACTGGTTTCTTTACAGCCATAATCATCTAAGCAATGGCTCATCATTCCTATGGAGAGGTTTGGCTATAATGTTTTGGTATAAGATGCATGTTATCTGTAAATAGCAGACACTAAAAGGCACGATTAATTATTTTCAGCTGAAGTTTGCTGAAAATATCAGACAAAATCTCACTCTCTGCCATCCTCTTCTTCAGGCTACTTCCTTACCATACCGCACCGCACCGCATCAAATGTTACAGACGTACTCTAACCGAATAACTTAATCTAAAATATGTATAATTATATTGGATGGTGTCATAACATGATGTTTTTAGTCTATTTTGTTTTTGACCTTAGTTTTTAAATGTGCTTTATTTGGTCTTGAACTATTTTTATTGCTATTTAAATTGGACGGGTCTCTCTTTTAAAAGAGATTTTAAATGTCAGTGGACTAACCTGGTTAAATAAATGTATTATAATAATGCAGAAAATAAACACACACATGTGCTTGTTATAGTAAAAGAATCACAGAAGGTGTTTCCTGCAGACATATAAGACTGTGAGCAGGAAACCTGCCTTCTGTTAACGGAAAGGTCAGTGCATGTGTGTGAGTGACCATGTACGGGTTTTTGAGTCTCATGGACTCATCTCCGACATTCTGCAGACCCAGACCTCGCTCCCCGACCTCTTGCTGGATTATCTGAAGGAGCTCAGCGAAGAAGAGCTGAAGGAGTTTAAATGGAAACTAAGTCACACAAAGTATAAAGAGTTAAAGCCCCTTCCTAGGGGTCAGGTGAAGGACTTGGATAGAACAGACCTCGCCGACAAGATGATAAGTTCCTACAGTGAAGTTGATGCTCTCAATGTCATGTTTGAAATCCTGAAGAATATGAACCTGAATGACCTTGCTCAGAGACTGAATGAAGACCTGCAGAAGCGTAATCAGGAAAGACAAAGAGAGGATGGCCCAGAAATACATGGTGCTGAGATCTTGAAACAGACACCAAAAGAACGAGGTACACCTGGAGCCAGCTGGAGTGGAGAACCCAGGACGGAGATGGCTGGAGATCCCTCGCTGGTGGCCTGTGCCCCCAGTGGGGTAGTAGGAGAAGAGAGAGAGAAGCGTAATCATATTTTTATCATTTCTTGTTTTTCATCTAAAATGTACCTTTTAAAGCTCTTGAAAAATATTGTGTGTAGCATTATATGGGGTATGATGAACAGTTTGTTACATATTGACGTTGAAGATAGAAATTAATTTGAATTTTTTTCTTACTTTTTCAGAATCAGAATCTTTTATTTGCCAAGTAAGGAGGAGAATGAGTAATTTCTTTATGATGTTTCGTTCTGGTTCCCAAGCAGGAAGTGAGCTGGATGACACACCGGAGCAGAGTAAGAGCTTTATGCTGTTCTGTACATGTATCTGGTGTTTCAGTAAAAATATGTATGATATTCAAGCTTCATTCATCATAATGAAAGCGTCAAAAATGTGTGCAAGTGTGTGTGTGTGTGAAGATGGGTCATGTCCCCAGAATGTGATAAAGATCTGTGATTGTGACCATGTTTTCAGTCCCCACAAGGAAAACTCATTTTTATAAAAATCTGTGACTGCAGTCAAAATACTTAACATGTCAGAAGTTTTGCATTTGGTTTGGTTACTTATGCTTAAGGTTTGGGCTGGGTGGGGTTTAGGGTTGTCATTGTTGGGATTAGGGTTTGTCCCATTGAAATAAATGGAGAGTCCACGCAAAGATATGAATACAAATGTGTATGTATTGTTCCTCCCATTCTGGTCAGGATCACGATGATAATTTGCATTTTCCTCTCATTTTCTTCAGGGGAATTTATGCAGTGTCAGGACGGAATAAAAAGTAACATGAAGAAGAAATTTGAGTGTGTATTTGAAGGGAAAGCTAAGGAAGGACAGCCAACACTTCTCAAGGAGATTTACACAGAACTCTACATAACTGAAGGTGGAACTGGAGGAGTCAATGATGAACATGAAGTGAGACAGATTGAAACAGCAGCCAAAAAAAGGCGAACAGAAGATAATACAGTCAAGTGCAATGATATATTTAAACCCTTATATGGGCATGAGACACCTATCAGAACTGTACTCACTAAAGGGGTGGCAGGTATCGGGAAAACAGTCTCTGTGCAGAAATTTTTTCTCGACTGGGCAGAAAGAAAAGCAAATCAGGATATTTACTTCATATTTGCTCTTCCTTTCCGGGATCTGAATTTGATTAAGGATGAATACAGTCTGATTGAACTGCTTCACCGCTTTGTCCCAGAACTGCAATCATTTCAATCCACTGAGCTGTTTAGGTACAAAGTCTTGTTCATCTTTGACGGTCTGGACGAGTGTCGCCTTCCTCTCGATTTTCAGAACAATGAGAGCTGGTTTGATGTAACAAAGAAAATGTCACTAGATGTGCTGTTGACTAACCTCATTAAGGGGAATCTGCTTCCATCCGCTCTCCTCTGGATAACCTCCCGGCCAGCAGCAGCCAATCAGATACCTCCTAAGTGTGTCCACCGGGTGACAGAGATACGAGGGTTCAATGATGCCCAGAAGGAGGAGTATTTCAGAAGGAGATTTAGTAATAAGAGCCTTGCCAGCAAGATTATCACACATGTGAAATCATCAAGGAGCCTCTTCATCATGTGCCACATACCTGTGTTCTGCTGGATTTCAGCCACTGTTCTTGAGAGTCTTTTTAGTGAGACTGACAGTGGAGAAATTCCAAGGACTCTGACTGAAATGTACACACACTTCCTGATCTTTCAGACAGGATTTAAAAATGACAAGTATATGAAAAACTATGAAATCAAGCTTAATAAACACAGCAAAGAATTCCTTTTAAAACTTGGGAAACTGGCTTTTGACAACCTTGAGAGAGGCTATCTCATATTTTATGAGCAAGATCTGATAGAGAATAATATTGATGTCGCTGAAGCTTCAGTTTACTCTGGAGTGTGCACAGAAGTCTTTAAGGAGGAATATGGGTTGTACCAGGAGAAGGTGTACTGCTTTGTGCATCTGAGCATCCAGGAGTATCTTGCTGCTTTATATGTGTTTCTGTCAAACTCATCAGCTGATCTGCTGACGACTGCAGTGGATCAGGCATTGGAGAGCAAGAATGGACACTTGGACCTCTACCTCCGCTTCCTCCTTGGCCTCTCAACAGACTCCAGTAAGACTCTGTTAAAAAGGCTACTGGGACAGACAAGAACCAGCTCACATAACATTGAGGAAACAGCTCAATACATCAAGGAGAAAATACAGGATTATTTATCCCCAGAAAGGACCATCAACCTATTCCACTGTTTGAATGAAATGGGTGACAATTCTCTAGTAGAGGAAGTCCAGAGACACCTGAATTCAGGACGTCTTTCAGCAGAAGATCTCTCACCTGCTCAGTACTCAGCTCTGGCCTTTGTGATGCTGATGTCAAATGAGGAGCTGGATGTTTTTGATCTGAAGAAATTCATCAGATCAGATAAAGAGCATTGGAGGCTGCTGCCTGTGGTGAAGACATCCAAGACAGCTCTGTAAGTGATGTGAGGATGGGGAAAACATGTGCATTATTTGCCTTTTATAATACACAATGTATTTCTCCTTCTGGATTAGTAACTAGGTTGGATTTTGTTTTTAGAATGACTGAGGGTAATGATGTCCCACCAATAACAACACCTCCAATCTGGCAGATAACCCTTTAGTGCATTGCCCTTATGGCATGTAATATGCACACAGTGTATTAATTAATAGCTGTTTTAGAGAACGTGATCTTGAAAATCCAAGGGGTGTCCATTGTCCCCCAGGTTCCCCTGATCCATGCACACTGCATAGGACATGGCTGTCTCGTTTTGTTTCAAAGCTATTAACCCTTTAGTGCATGTAATATGGATACAATATATAATTAATAACTGATAGAGAGAACGTTATTCTGAAAATCCAAGGGGTGTGCATTGTTCCCTGTAGTTCACTGATCAAAGCACACTTCACTAGAAGTGCCTGTCTTGTCTAGTTTTAAAGTTATTAACCCATTCATGTATTGTCCCATTGCACATTATACGGATACATTCAAACATTCAGAAATTAATTAAAATTTGTACGTAAAGCAATCTGGGAAACAAAGGGGTGTGCATCAGTCGCCATGAGCCCAAAATGCTAAACCACCATGTCATTACAGCTGATAGCACCTATAATATTAGCTATTAACACGATTTTGCACAAATCACGAAATGGTTTGAAGCGCAAAAATAATCGGTGTGCATCGTTGTCTGTGTACTGGACAACACGATTCTGTCATTAAAAACGCCCCACCTTCTGTGAAAAGTTATTAAAGCTAGAAACTTGTTTCGAGATACTAAGTCGCAATTGCGAGATATAAAGACGCAATTGCGAGATATAAAGTCAGAATTCTGATTGTTGCTGTATCAGCCAATACTGATAGTTGGATGATATCATCGGTGCATCTCTAATTTGAGTGATGTCCAGATGAGCTTATGTTTTTTAAATGACACTTGAATTCTTGAACCCATGAGTGAATCCTTTTTTTCTGTATTGCTATGCCAGGGAACTTGTAAAATCACCAATACCCGATTCACAGGACTATCAGTCCTTTCAGATACGCTTTTAGAAGAAATATGACTTCATTTATCCCAATGGGGAACTTGTCTTTTCACCCATCCCATTCTGCTCCATGAGACACACAGACACACACAGGTGAGAGGAAGTTTGGGGTCATAGCGCAGGGTCGGCCAGCATCCAGCGCCCCTGCACTGATTGGCATTAAGGGATTTGCTCAAGGACCCAGCAATGACATCACTCTGCCGGCCAGGAGATCTGAACCAGCTTCCACTCATAAGCACAGAGTCAGAACATTCTATGAAATTCTAGTTTTTGGCTGTCAGTCACACAGAGGACGGTAATGAAAAACCTCATTTTCTTACTAAATCACTAACTTCAGTCAATATAAAATCTGGCTTCCAGAAATGCAACCTCGTTATTAATCCAAAATGGGAAATAAATTATATTTTTTCATTGTATATTTTAAACAAATTTATTTGCTCTGAAACAAAATGAGACAGCGATGTCCTATTGTCACGGTCGGGCAGAAGGCGATCCAGGAAGCAGGGATACGGAGGCAGGAAATAGGGCAAACGGGGTTTATTGGAGAAAGACGGGACCGGGGAAGCACAACAGGTAACATTAATGACGAGTCTGGGGAAGACTGACTCAGACGAGGACTAAATACAAAAGACAAACTACGGGTAACGAGCCACAGGTGAGAACAATCGGGGAGAAGCAGGAGGTAATGAGGTGGGCGTGGCACACATTAGGAGCGGACGGAGCGGGGCGTGACACCTATGAAGTGTGCCTTGATCAGTGGAGTCAGGGGGCAATGCACACCCCTTGGATTTTCAAGATCACTTTCTGTCTAATAGTTTAATTATTACATCATATCCATATTATATGCCATTGCTCCATGTCATACATATTGACAGTTAATTGATAACACAAATTAATCCATAAGTAAGTTGTAAAGTGTGATTTAGGCAGTGCACCGTGGGACAAAGTAAATGTATCACAGCTGAATTGCTTGATTACGTGTTTCGTAATCGGTGTGCATCGTTGTCTGTGTACTGGACAACACGATTCTGTCATTAAAAACGCCCCACCTTACTTCCGTGAAAAGTTATTAAAGCTAGAAACTTGTTTTGAGATACTGGATAAAGTCGCAATCGCGAGATATAAAGTCAGAATTCTGACTTGCGAAGTTGCAATTGCGAGATATAAAGTCGGAATTGTGACTTACTAAGTCGCAATTGCGAGATTCCATGGCTTATATTTTTTTGCTACCTGGCGGAAACGGGCTTCCATAGACTCCTGTGCTTGAAAACAGACATTCTATATTTATTTTGCTTATTGGTAATGTAAGTGTTGCTGCTCATGCTTTTCTCTGTAGACTCTGTTTTCTACACTACAACCTAGTTCTGCTCAACTGGGAGTATTAAGTTGCATTAAAACAGCAATGTTATTTTTTTTTCAGGTGGCTAAGAATGTTACCTATTTTTTTTTTGTTTTTTTTTTTTACCTCATTGAAGATTTTATTTTTGAACAAAAATACTTTAGTAACAGTGCACTTCTTTTATTTTTTGCACTTTCAGACCCCTCTATTTATTGGTGTATAAATAAGAGTTTTGATTTGTATGCAAGGAGGGAGTGATTGTTATAAAGTAAGTAAGTAAGTAATTTATTTATAGAGCGCTTTTCACAGACAAATAGTCACAAAGCGCTGTACAATAATGAAGCAAAGTAAAACAGAAAAAAAAAAGAAATACAAAACTTAAAATGCAGTAAAAAAAATAAATAACATTACATAAACAACAAACAAATACATAAAACCAGAACTTTATACTGAACTCTGAACTGCACTGGAAGCCAATGCAGTGAGTACAGGATTGGAGTAATGTGGTCTTTTCTATTACAACGGGTTAAAAGCCTAGCAGCTGCATTTAGAACCAACTGAAGGCGTGAGAGGGCGGACTTACTCAGGGTCGTGTAAAGGGCATTACAGTAGTCGAGTCGTGATGAAATAAATGAATGAACCAGCATCTCCAATTCTGGTTTTGATACAACAGACCTTATTTTAGTCGAGACATAAAGACTGATCCAATGTAACCCCAAGATTACGAACACTTGACTTAGAGGCAGGAATGACAGATGATAGTTGTAGTCTAATCTCAGAGTGGAGGCTAGGGGGAGATACAATTAACATCTCAGTTTTTCCAGAGTTTAATTGTAAATAATTATTACTACACCAGTCCCTCACCTGAGACAAGCAGTCAACCAGAGTAGATAATTTGTTCAACTGATTGGGTTTAAATGAAAAATAAAGCTGTATATCATCTGCATAAAAGTGATATGTGATATCCTGAAATGATTTAAGGATTAATGATAAAGGGAAAATATAAATTGAGAAGAGTAACGGACCAAGAACCGACCCCTGAGGCACCCCACTTAACATAGTCGCAACATTGGATGTAAAGTCAGCCACACTGACTGAGAAACTGCGATTGGTAAAATAGGATGCAAACCATTCTAAAGCAGAATCGGAGATGCCCACTAACTGCCCTAACCTATTTATTAAGACTGTATGATCCACCGTGTCAAACGCCGCACTTAGATCCAGCAAAACAAGCACAGAGCACAGGCCCCCATCAGCAGCAATTAAAAGATCATTTAAAACTTTAAGGAGGGCAGTTTCTGTAGAGTGCAGCCTCCTAAAACCAGACTGTAGGGGATCAAGGAGCTGGTGCTCATCTAAGAAGGCACCAAGTTGCTGTTCGGCAACCTTTTCTAATACCTTAGCAATAAAAGGCAGTTTTGAGATGGGCCTGTAGCTGCTCAGAAGAGTTGGATCTAAATTGTTTTTCTTTAACAGTGGTTAAATAACGGCCGATGACAAGGAACAACGCCCGAAAGGAACAACGCCCGATGACAAGGAACAGTTTATAATGTTTAAAAGGTGAGGGCCTAAACAATCAAAATTCTTCAACAATAATGTTGTCGGCAGCACATCAGAAATACAGGAAGAAGGTTTCATCTTCCTGACTAACTTTGAAAGATCAGAGAGTGAGACTGGAGAGAATGTAAAAGTTTCTGAGACAGAAGGAAAAGGAACAAGAGATGGAGCTGCCACAGACACGATGTTTGCCCTAACATCATTAATCTTGTCAACAAAATAATTCAAGAAATTGTTACAATCGTTATCAGCGAACACCGGAATATTAGAATGTGTAGGAGCAACAATGTTATTAATTATGTTAAATAAAACTTTAGGGTTTCGCTTATTAACCCGAATAATGTTTGAAAAGTAAGCTGATCTGGCATCCCTTACCGTAGAATTAAATGACATAAGCAAATCCTTTAAATATGAATGGTGAACCTCCAGATTAGTGGACTTCCACAGGCGTTCAGCTTTGCGACAAGATCTCCTGAGATTTCGGATGGCATCGTTCATCCATGGGACTGAAGAGGGGTGAGAACCCTGCCTGGTTTTATATGGAGCTATCTTATCCAAAATTACAGTACATGAATCATTAAAATTTTGGACTGCTGACTCCACATTTCCAACATTGTTATCCACATCACATTTAGAAAACAAATATGCAAACTGGTTAGTCACTAACTCATTAATATAACGAGTGCGTCTAATATGAACAGGTAATACCGACTCTGCATTAATCAATAATTCAAAGAATACACACTTATGGTCACTAAAAGTAACATCACGATGTGGCAAGCAGCTCAATTTGATCCCGTGTGAAAAAACCAAGTCCAGTGTATGCCCACCGCTATGGGTGGGACCGGTGACATGGTGAGTGAAATTAAAAGAGTCAGTAAGATTCATGAATTCAGACGACACATTGCATGAGGCGTCGTCTACATGAATATTAAAATCACCGATCATTAAGACTCTGTCCAGTTTGATTATTGAGGACAAAAAGTCTTGAAATTCTGCCAGAAATTGGCCTGCTGCACCAGGTGGTCGATAAATTACAATACAGTATAATGGTTTATCCCGACCAACTTTAACCATTTGAAGCTCAAAAGAAGAATAAAAAGTAGTGCTGACCAAATAGCATGAATACAACTTTTTAAAAACAACAGCAATCCCACCTCCACGACCTGAGTGCCGCGGTGTAGAGATGAATGAGCAGTCCTCGGGACACAGTTCTCTCAGGTGGGTGAACTCCGAATCACGCTGCCAAGTCTCCGTTAAAAACATAAAATCCAACCCATGACTAGTAAAAAAGTCATTTAAAATAAAAGATTTATTTGCGATGGAGCGAGCATTAATCAGAGCCGATTTTACCGGTACAGGAGCAGCAGCCGGTAGAGCGCCACACCCGGTGTGGCGGGGAATAGCGCGGAGTAGCCCAGGAGATCTTTCTCGGCAGACTCGGGGTCTTGGCCGAGGCGTGTTGCGCGAGACAGCAGGAGTTCCAGGAAGTACCGGTCTCAGGACAGTCGGCCTTAGCTGAAGGTCGTCGAATCGAGAGAAAATCGAGGGAGCAAAGATCCATAAGCACCGGGTTCTCACATGCACACCTGCCCTTTTTCCTCGTCTCTTCTTCCTCCGCCGAGCCCGCAGCTTGTCCCTGGCACTGTTTGCTAGCAGCAGGGGGAATCCGCATAACAACGCGGCATCCTCCATCAAGGGAGGAGAAAAGGTAAAATTGTACTGGCAAGAAAACTTTCCCATCGCTAGCCGTATGTTAATGAGCGATGAGCGATCGTAAGTAAACGTAGCTGGTAAGCCACATACAAGCAATAACGAAACACAACAAAAAACCATCAATGCAGTACGGAAAGACGGAGGTGAGCAGAGCAAGGTAGAGGCATAGCCTAACAGAGGCGCCATCTTGCAATAAATAAAACAGTTTGTTCAGTTCAGTGGTGTTGTAATCATTTTGTCAAAAACAGAAGTATAATAGTAAATAAATATCGGTTCTGAATATAAACATGCAAATAATTGTATCGGTATCGGTAATAAAAAAATCAATATCGGTCGATCACTAATCATGACACCTCTAAATTTCAAGAAAACAAATTTGAGTTCTCACTTTAAGGCAAAACAGTGAAGAGTATGAAGAGTCTCTGAAAAACAAATCCAATAAAAGAGGCTGCAGTACTGCCGAATCACGCTATTCTCTCTGTAACACTAGCATTTCATAGCAAAAGAAAATTCAGTGCAGACAGTGCAAAATCAAAATATTTTACTTGAAACAGAGTTGATCACACTTGATGATCAGCCCTTCACTGTTATAGATGTTATAAATATATAAGATGTATACAGTTATAAAATATAGTCCTGTGCTGTATCCCAGAATTGGTATTTTCTTATTAAAAAATAAATACTTTTAAAATGTATTTGGGTGGAGTGTCCCTGTAAAGATATTTAAGCAGAACCTCCCAAACAATTGGTATCGGTTTCAAAACAATCAGCCAATAATGTTTGTTACCTTTATTGGTGCATCACTAGTTCAAATCCCACAAAAACACGCACACACACATATTCTAGGTAGGAACTAAACCCAAAACCCTAAATGGTCAGCTGTAGTGCTGATCACTGAGTCACAGCGCTGCTCAGAGCTCTATGAAAATATTTATGCAGTCTCAAGGTATCTCATCCTCAAGTCCATTAAAAACCACTTTGGAGTTGGCTACAGCTTCAAGGACATCAAAACAACAAAATAACTGATATATTTTAATTAACATGTCACTGAATGGATTTTAGAGCATATTCACACTCTTACCCTAATTCAAACTGGCTCTGGAATATGCAATATAACACATACTGAACATTATTGGGAAAATGGTCTGTATGACTTATGAAAATGTACAGTTTGAGTAAAACTATAGGCTTTTAACCCATGATATTCTTGCCCACTGTCGATGATCATATGACTGCAGAAAATGCACAGTAAATACCAACAAATACAGTAAACTCACAGGAGAACCTGTATTGTGCTAACAGCTGCTCATTTGAGTAGATCGATCCTGTTCCTCAATGTTCTGCACACAAAAACGTTCAGGATATTTGTGCTCTGAAATGAAAATGTTCACTGTATTCTTCATGACAGGGAACACGATGACCATCAGAGGATTGACAAAAATAAAAAATTTACCATATTTAATCACTTTTCTAACTGTAGTAGTTTAAGGTACTGCTGTGTTTAGCCTCTGTTTCCCTTTGAATTGTATTCTGTGTCTCTTATTATGCTGAAAAAAAGTTTGTTTGGATATTTTGTACCACTGTGATCAATGATGTGTACGATATACACTCACCTAAAGGATTATTAGGAACACCATACTAATACAGTGTTTGACCCCCTTTCGCCTTCAGAACTGCCTTAATTCTACGTGGCATTGATTCAACAAGGTGCTGAAAGCATTCTTT